AGAGGGGGTGAGGATTATAATAATCTACTGCACTGTCTGAACGCAACAAAATGTATTATGACCATATTTACCTTCGTAGGCTGCGTTGAAACCTTTGCCGCCGCCATTTCTTGTCCTGTACTCTATCCACATCCGGGTGCCTGATGACGTCAGTGTGTCCGGGATCAACTCACCGCAAAAACGTCCTGGAAAAGGAGTGAACCCAGTAACATCTATCTATCTATCTATCTATCTATCTATCTATCTATCTATCTGTCTGTCTGTCTGTCTGTCTGTCTGTCTGTCTGTCTGTCTGTCTGTCTGTCTATCTATCTAACCTATCTACTTCTCCAGTCACTCACTCACCCATTCCCACTTTCAGTCACTCACAAAAAGCTACTGCGCCTGACAACCGAACACTGCATAGATACTGCCACATAAACAAGAAAAATGCTGAACGTACACGATCTCACATTAACAAGTAACACACTAAATATAATTTCACATGACAAATAACATTCATGTACTATTCATAATGCGGCAAACAAATAGCATGTTATTCACAATGCCACATATACAAATAATACATGCAGTCAAAATTGTCTAAGAAAGCAATCTAATGATCAGTTGTCTGGGAGAAAAAAACGGCCGAGTTGGACATGTGGACGTCTTACACAGTATCATTTTAATTCTAAAACAAATAAACGCAAAAGGAGAAATGAAAAGTGTCGTTTGTACATGATGTGGTCTTATCCATTCAATGGCTATTTTCGTTTCTGCAGACGGTCAATTTAGCTTGAGATGGTCTTACGGTTGTCTTCATGAAACTTTTTTCAAGGGTAACTTTTCCTATTTTGAAGTGCAATATTTGTCGCAGAGATTGCATGCCAGTGAGGTGGATCGAAGCTCTGTATTTTCACTGTTTTTCTTTCGTCTTTGGCGCTTCCCAGCCTGGTTGTTTCTGAGGCTGCTCTCTAGCATAATAGTTCTTTCCTTTTTTATTATTTTCCTTCATGTTTTCCTGTCCTCAACTATTTCTTCCCAGATGCTGACATCTACTCTGAACATTAAGCTATTTTTGCAGGTGTCTTATACATTATGTGACGGTGAAATCAGGTTAAAATCGATTGTACTCTAATACAACACCAAGCTTTAACACTCAATTGACCCAGAAGAGGCGCCTTTCCTTAAATGACACTAGATCTATATTATACTGTAACACTAAACTGTCCCAGTTAAATAACACTAGACCTATATACTGTAACACTCAACTGACCCAGAAAAGGCGCCTTTACTTAAACAACATTAGACCTATATACTGTAAAGGCAACTTTACTTAAATAACACTAGACCTCTATACTTTCATAGTCAACTGACCCAGTAGAGGCTACTTTACTTAACCCTATCCGTACGTCCTGGGATCATTTTGTACCACCAAGGTTGTATTCCTCACGACATTTTAGAATACTTCTAGTACAAAGATCTCTTTGAAACTTTCAGTATTTCTCAAAAAAATAATTTTGACAGACTGCTATGCAAAGCGTACACATCGGATTAACGAGTAAATTTCCTTTTTTGAAAGTGGCGGCACAGAGTTGCTTACGTTGTATGGATATGATAATGAAACACGCTGTACGGAGAGGATTAAATAACACTAGACCTAAATACAAACGAACACTAGAGCTCTTCATTGTAACACTCAACTGACCTAGGAGATTTGACTATATGACCAATATACTGTAACACTCCACTGACCCAGAAGAGGCGATATTACTTCCATTACACTAGACCTATAATACATACACTATAATAATAATAATATTGTAACACTCAACTGACCCAGCAGAGGCGACTTGATGTAGTAGCCGTCCCTGACCTCCAGGTAGTCCGTCTCACAGTTGTAGGACTGAGGGATGTCCAGCCGTGTGACGTTCAGCACGATCTTCTCGCCGTGAGTAGCGGAGATTCTCCACCGGCAGATCTCTGGCCGCCCGGGCGTGGGTGAATGGAGGAACTCGGAGCTCGAGTCTTGGAGGGTGCGCCC